AAGTAGATTTCTTTGGACTCTTTGGTTGAAGATTTATTGAGTTTTTATTTAGCACTGAAATTAACCATGACTTTTACATATCGAATCCAGGAAATCAGGGAAGAGTAAGTAAAAATAAAGAGCAGATTTGAAATTATATAATACATTCTCCATATCCTTTCTGCAGCTTTTTCTGTGACTTCCGTAATCATTTGTGAGGAAATCTGTTCTCTTCTATTTCTTTTTTTTTTTTTAAGATTTATTTATTTATTTGTTTGTTTGTTTATTTATTTATACAAGCACTGGGCACAGTCAGAAGCGCGGGAGAATGAGAGAATTCACCAGAGCCAGAGCGGGGAGCAGAGCAGACAGAAGGACCGAAGTATACTGCTGAGGGGAGCAGCGGGCGGCAGGAGAGGTCTGTGCGCCATGCGGGACCCTCCTCGGGTGGCTGGGGAGCAGCCGGGGATCGAACCGGTCTGCAGAGTCTGCGAGCAGCTTCGCAACCCAGCGCTCAACCGCTGTGCCACCGGGGAGGCCCTGTTCTCTTCTATTTCTCCCTATATTCCCATCAAGTCAGAGTTACTACAATCTTTTTCAATTTAAGGAAGGGATAGTTTTACAATTAGATCAGAACCAGTAGGTAGAATTTTTGCAGAAATAAAAGCAAATAAGTTTTGTAAACTGCTCTCAAGGTCATGCTTTGAATGTTTTGAATTCAAAGTCAGTAATGAGAATTTAGAATGGTAACTAAGGAACATTATATTTTAATTTTATTTCTTCATAAACTGATACTGTGGTTGAACTCTTCTCTGAACAGGGCTCCTTGAAATGAATTACAGATAGTAATTCTTTTAAGCATTTCCTTTTCTCATTCATTTTTGCACAGTTAGATATAGTTTGTATATGATATATTAGATAACTAACATGAAGAGGAGTAGAAAAAAAGTGGGACTTTTTAAGATATGAATTCACCTACATCAAAGTCAGTCGGCCTTACATATTACTTGGGCCAAAGTCAGTGTGTAATATTCACAGCCTTTATATTTGTCCAAGGAAACCAACTTTCTATTGGTGATTACCCTTATCTGCTCATTATACTGAAACATTGTTCTGTAATGTTTAAAACAGGGTCACCACTGAATATAATTTATTGAGTTTGAAACCAGCAGGTGTATTCTGGACAAAGTAAAGAGCAAATAGTAAAATGGCTTACATGTTTACTTAAGAGTTTATTTATTTTGGGTTTTTATCTGCTGCTTTTGGTTATAAAGGTTTACTTCAAGGACATTAGGAACAAATGGGCCCTTTGTGTTTCAGGAGCAGCAGGTGTTGAAACAGCTTTGTGATTTCACTTGGACAATAGTTAATGTGCTTATGGACTTGATTGATCATCACATGCCTCAATAACCATAGCCTCCCAGTAAAAAAGTTATATGAATGTTTTCATGGCTACCTAGTGTTTTTGTGTTCATTTAATTTGCATATTTATCTATGTGGACGAAGGATACATGTCTGGATAAGTGTTCCAAAAGACTATATTTTGAATCTAGCCTTCTCATAAAACAAATTCCCAAAATGTTATTATTCTAAAGCTTTCTGTGTGAACATGGATTAATAATTGCTATGGTTTTAAAGTATTACAAATTAATGCCTTTCAGGGAAGTGACTCTTATATTCAAAGGAATTTCCTACAGTTTATGCGTGAGGTAATTCTAAAAGTTCTGGAGTTCCAAAATCTCCAGTTTGGATGATTTATTTATTTCCTATCACCTATATAACAGAGAAAGAGTCAAGTTCCCAGCATAGTGTGAAATATATATATATATTTATATATAAAAGGGCTCAACAAATATTTATTGAATAAAATATCCAGAGGAAAATACCCACTGCTGATTAGAGACATTTATTCTAACTATACAAGCATCAGGGAATGACATTATGCAATAATTTGCTCAAAAGTGCACATTTATTTTCTGTTTTTGGAACTGAATATAACCTCAGAATAAGTTTAAGTGCATAAAAATTTTTTCCAAGTTAGCAGCAGTTCCTTTAATATCTGTCTATAGGTCACATTGTGAATCTTAGAGATAGTCTATTAATATATTATATTGCTGAGAGCTAAAATGTTTCTACCCTATTATTTGGACTTCCAAACAGAATATTGTGAAGTGAAAGGTAGTGGCAAGTTAAACATAAGAGTTGTGTGTCTAGGGAATTTTTGCATGTCTTCAATTTGAATTACGAAAAAATATACATAGCATACAATTTATTATCTTAACCATTTGAAGTGTAGTTTAGTGGTATCAGTACATTCAAATTGTGAAGCAACTGTCACTATCTCCATCTCCAGAGCTCTTTCCATCTAGCAAAACTGAAACTGGGTACCCATTAAACAACTCTGTTACCCTCCTCATTCTAGTCCCTAGCATCATGATTTTTAATGAAAGTTCACATGCTAATATATTTCTGTACATTCATAAAGAAGCATATATTTTATCACATTTATGAATGTTTTCAAACTGACATGTAGAAAGTACATATTATATATTTATTCATTGCCAAATAAATTTTCCTGGGAAATAGGTCTCCTTACACTTCTGATTCTAACTTTTCATGTGCTATTGTAATATTGAAATGTTTACATGCATTAGGGGTTCATTTTCAAATATCTCTGACATCTTTGAACTGTAGTAATATTTTTCCAATATTTCTTATTTTCAGGAATACTAACTTTCATTGCTTTATTTTTAGACATTTAAGTTCTATGTTTTTTTATGAACGTGACACCTAACATTTTTCATATTTCCGTACACATTTGTATATTTATCAAATTCAAATTCTGTGTATTTTTTTTGCAACATTAGCCTGGCATTTATTTATTTATTTTTATTTTTTTATTTTTTTACATCGTTGTTCATTTTTTAACAATATTTGCTTCCCTCCACGCCCTCAGGCATACTCCCCATAGAACTTCCTTCCCCAATGCACCCGTGCACCATCACCTCAGACCTCTGTTCTCCTCCCTCCCTTCCTCTGATCCTTCTCCCTCCTCCCTTGCAATATGTCTCTGATTTATAATTATATGTTTTTACTTTGTTGTGTTTTGTACTGTTATTATATTTTTACACTGATGTCTTACTTGGTTCCCCTATATTCCTGCTATAAGTGAAACCATCTGACAATGGTATATTATTGAGCAATCAAAAAAATAAACTCATGCGTTCACAGCAATGTGAATGGAGCTAGAAGGAATTATGCTCAGTGAAATAAGCCAGAAGGAAAAAGACAAATTCTGTGTATTTTGAGTAATTAACACCCAGCCATCCTATCTTCAACTACTCTATTGTATCTGTCCCAATGTCACCTGGGCTACTTTGATTTATTTTGAAATAAATTTTACCTTCATTTCTTTCAAGAGTTACTTATATTATTAATGAATGTGGAACTTTATTTAGTAGCACTCAATCTCTTCAGTAGGTGCTGCTTAGAATATCACGTGAATTATTGTACTTACACCTCAAAGCAATCCCATTTGACAGATGAGGAAATGAGACTTGGAAAAATTTAGTAATTTTCTTAAGGTTACCAATGACCAAATTGAATTTTAGAAAGATCACACTGGGTATGTGGGCATTGGAGAGGGAGAAGACTAGAATCAGACTAGAAATGAGAATGTTTTTGCAAGTATCTAAGCATAGACTGAATATTGATTAGGAGGTATGAAAACATGAATTTGTGCAAGATTGGGGAGTACACATCAATAGAATTTTGTCAGAACAGAAAAGAGTCAAGGATCCTTGAGTTTCTGATTTGAACAACCAGGGAGATGGTTGTCTACCAACATTTATTTTCCACAGTTCTGGTGACAGAAAGACTAAGATAAAGTCCTGGCAAATTCAGTGTTTGGTGAGGGTCTATTTCCTGGTTTGGAATGGAAATGACCATATTTTGTTGTTCCCACATGGCACGAAGAGAGCTCTGAGCCCTTCATCTTCTCAAAAGGGCATCAATCCTATCATGGGGCCCTCATCACTATGACCTTATCCAAATCTAATACCTCCTAAAAGCCCCACCTCCAGATACCATCTGACTGGGGGTTAGGCACTAACATATTAATTTGTTGGTAGAGTTAGAGGTGGGAGAAATGAACATTTTATCCATATCAATGGAGATGCTATTCACTAAGATGGTAACACAGGGAAAGGATTAGCTTGGGGGTTGTTATTTATGTGGGAAGGGTGCATAATGTTGCGCTATGATAATATGGAGTTTGGGATGTCTGTAAAATGTCCACCTGTAGATGTCCAGTAAACAGTTTTTCTTAGTGGTCTGGAGTTCAAGGAAATAGGCATGAACTGGAGATATAAGTTTGGAGGCTGACAGAGTATAGATGGGAAATAAATGAGATCACTTTGAAAAATGTATAAAATAAGAAGATAATTTCCCTGCACCAATGTCTGTCAAAACAAAATAGAGCAAAAGTAAATGAAATCAATATAGAGGAAATGACCAAAAACAGAGCCTATCAAGAAAATGAGATGGAACAGCTAGACATGTGGAAATGGCAGTAGTGACCTTGTAGAAGTACAAGAGCCCAGAAGGATAAAGTTTCAGAAAAGGGGTGTGCTCAGCTGCCTGACTTCTGCAAGGTTAGAGAGCTAAAGTGAGGGAAGGACTAGATTTAACATGGAGGAGATTGGTAGTATCAAGAGGGCAATAAAGACAGAAACTAGTCTCTGTCTTCTCAGTTATTAAAAGAATGTGTGGTGTAGTGCAAATCTTTATATATGTCAGAGAGAAATAAACTTCATGCATCATGCTCACTAATAAACATTTTAATTATTCTAAATGATCTGGGCAACATAAAATTATTTAATCCTCGTACCCTGGCTGGAATTTTATTTTCATCTCTCTACATCATTTGATTCTCATTTTACAGAGTTTTTTCCCCATAAGCTTGATGTATTTTAATGAAATCTGTGTAATTTTGAGATACTAAGAGAACTGTGATTTCGCAGGTACTCCCTCAGGAAGGAAGCAAAGACAGAACTGGTAAGTCTTCTTGATGAAGTATGTTTTACTATTTGTTTATAACACTTGTTTGAAGAACCTTGCCTATTCCCTATAAATTTAAACAGGTCATGAGTCTTGCTGAATAACTGATAGTCACATTATGACATTAAGTCAGAATATGTCCTATATTTTGAAATGTGGATCAATTCACTTAGCTCTTCTGTGACTTTCATTCAGTCACATCCTGGGTTCACTCTCCAAACTACAGTTGGCTTCACGTATAAAGAAAACCCTTTGCTTAACCAATCTTTATCTTGAAATATATACTACAGATTAAGTAAGAACAAAATGAAAGATTACACTTATACTGAAACAACTACTTTGAAAATGAGTCTTCTTTACAATAATGAAAGGTAGCAATTTTTATTTGTATAGCTTCTGTATTTGGAAATGTTCTGTATAAGTCAAAATGTTTCACATCTTAATTTATTGAATTTCTGCTTTCAATGACTATATAAAATAATAGTTAACAACCCCCAAACCACCACTTCTTACCAACTTTTGACAGCTGTTTTTGTATTTGAGCAGTCCTTTATTTGACCGGTCTACTGTAGATACATCATTCTGAATCTTTTCTTTTCATTTGTCATTCCTTTGCATGAACTTTTAAATGGTTATGTATAGAGGGAAGCTACTGTAAAAAATTTGTGTATTTCCACCATGCATATTCTTCATATCTTGAAGATCATGTATTTCTGGAATGATTCAATATAAAATTGAAGCTTCTTTTCTCTGTTGCTACAAAGCCTGTTTTAAGAATAATCTTGTCGAATAATGCCACTGAAAAAATAATACATGAGTGTTGCCCTTATCTGCATGGCAACTATCACTACTTCTATCTTTAAATACTCCTTTTCCTTTGCTCTGTTGACGAACAAGTTTTATTATTCAATGCCCAATTCAGCTTTTGTGGTGGGGGCACTGTGGCAACATCCCCGAGAGGGGAAACTCCTATACTTCCAAAACACAAGTAACAGTGTAATGCAACATTACCTAATAATAAAAATAAACAAACAAAAAAAAATTCATCCTTCAAAACAAAGATTGCAGTTTCAGTTCAAATTAGCATCACCATGGAACATGGTTAGTCATCTGGTGCTCTTCCATCTCTTGGGTTGATTTGTGAGACCTTTACACTGGACCAGCATACAAAGTTACTGAATGGAACTTTGTCTTTAGTGAATGTGCAGGACCCACCAGCCATAATGCAGTATTTTCTTCTGCTATCTGTAAAATGCTTGTAGCATTGAGTATGAATAATCTAATCTATTTTCAGTTTCACTTTTGAGGTTTTAACAATATATAATACTTAATTAACCACTTGAGGAAATAAAGAAAACCTTCTTTGAAAATTACAGGAATGTGTTCCAATAGCAAATGATGCCATAAGTAGAACCCTATGTGCTTCAAGTCTCTTGTTGGGGGCCTCCCCGGTGGCGCAGCGGTTGAGCGCTGGGTTGCGAAGCTGCCTGCGCCGGAGGCGCCGGTTCGATCCCCGGCTGCTCCCCGGCCACCGGAGGAGGGTCCCACATGGCGTGCAGACCTCCCCTGCCGCCCGCTCTCTCACCCTCCCGTGCTTCTGACTGTACCCAGCGCTTGCATAAACAAACAAACAAATAAATAAATAAATAAATAAAGCATGCCTCTATAAAAAAAAAAAAAGTCTCTTGTTGGAATTTCAGCCTGCCTTTAAGGAGTTGATACTCTGTTTACCTCAGTAAAGTACATGCTCCACTCCAGACATAACCATATGAAAGATTTACACAAATGACAATATTTGAAAATTTTAAACAAAGTATTTTTCTTGGAGATTTGATAACTAGAATGTGATACTTATTTTCTTTTTAGCATGAACCTATCCTATTTGTTTATAGCTAAATGCTATTTTCCATTATGTAAAGCTACAGTCAAAAGCATGCATAAGAAACAGCTGAAGTTAACTCGGGGCCAGAAATGACAAGTACTTTCCTAAGAAATCTCCAGTGCTAAGGAAGCACAATCTCCAATGCCTAAAGATGTTTAGTTTAGGTGACTCTAATGTGGTATAAAAGTACCAGATTGGGTGTGGAACTTATCTATGAGTATTGAGGTATCATGAAGTGCAAGTTCAGTCTATCAGAGATTGAATTTTTAGTTGCTTATCCACTCCTCTAGCTACTGTTTCATTTTGACAGAAAAAAAAAATAGATTATGCAAGCAGGTCAGCAGAAACTAGAAACTAGAAACGAGTCAAATCAATTTTCACATAAATATTTATGGAAAGCACTCTTGGAATAGAAAGTATTTGGTGAAGGTTGTCTGAGAACAATTTTTTCTGCACATGTAAATCAGAAGAGTTTTTGAAGCCTAATTCAAATTTCTATACAAATGTAAATCAGTTTGTAAGTTTGGGTTTTCAGTTGTTCTTTTATTTTTTATTCTCATCATTCAAATTAAATTATTTCCATAATTTAAATGTATAATGTCCATTCCTTCCTGCTGTTTATAGAATGAAGTGAATTTTTCTCGCTTCTAATTTGGCTCCCATCCTTGTTTCTGATTGGCCTGTCCAAGAGCTTCTCTCTGTAGGTTTACTAAAGATGTAATATGGAGACCAGACTGAAGAGGCCACTCGATATATACAGATAAAGTGTAATATGATAAAAGGGAAGAACATGATCGTGACCCAACCTCAGTGTTTGCCTTTATGGGGTCATTCCTGGTGATTCGTTCTTGTGTATTAAAATGGCCTGCTTTTCCTCTGGTTTTTGTCTCTGGTGGAGTCCAATGTAATGGTGATCCCAAGCAGAAAAACTGAAGCATGATTAGGTGGTATAAAATCCCATTATTGTTACTAATTTCACTAATGGATTAAGAAAGGGGATCACAAAATAACCAGACCCTCTCCTAAGCAGTTTAGATTATTTACTGGGACTGAAGAGTCTCAGACTGATGATGGAAATAATATTTACCATGGTAACAATGGAGTAAATCCTCTGAGTTTATGCTTACCGTGTTGCGATCTTTGTTAGAAAACCAAAACAGGGCAGAATGGTACACAATGTCATATACCTACCCTAATTATTAATTAATTTCATTTTTGAAAAGTAAATGTGAATATTCATAAATACACACAAACTTTAAAAAATAACCCAGTGTTTATGGTTAATTTTAAATTCCATTTCTTATTGTATTTACTTTTCATTTCTTCCAATTTGGAATTAGGAGATTAACACCAAATTTCAATGTTGCTCACTATCATGCATATTTGAATCTTGTACTGATATACTATTCTTATCATAAAATGCACACTTCACTGCAGGATTGCAATATATATCTCTTTAGTTTAGAAAAAAATTTTAAGCCTGAAAAAATAAGATCAAATCTGACAAAATTACTTAATTTTTTTCCTCAGTTAATTTCAGTAGGGCAACTGGGACTACTCCTCTAAGAACAGTTTCAAAAGAGGCTTTGTGGCCTCAACTATTCATTCTTCCTGTGAGTAGTGTAATTATTTTCTGCCTTCTCAGCTTCATTGTATTATGGTATTTTGTTAGGCTCATTATCAAGCATATGAAGGATCTGTCACAAACAGAATTTCGCAAAAGACACCGAGGTTGCAGGGAGTCATAGGTACAGCCAAATCCAATGATTAAGAATAAAAGCATATATAGTGTAGCAAAATATCCTCCTATTTTGCTGAAATATAATTATAGTGATTAATGTCTGAGCTGAAGAGATCCTTGAAACTCCTCACTAATCACAACTGGAAATTATAATTTCATTTTAATTCAGATATTTGTTGAACATTTACTGTGTTCCTGGCAGTTTGCAAGGTATTAAAACACAATGATAAATAAGATATAATTATCCCTCCTTCAAAACATTCACCTAACTTTCTCTTGAGATTTCTTCAGTGAAATCAGAGTTTGATCAGTAAATGTATGGCTATTTAGTGAAATTTACAATAATTTAATAAGTTGTAAAATTGTGATTTCCTGTGGCTACATAAAGAGAGGCAGTTACCATTCAGTGACTATATGCCCACAAGAGACAAAAGGAAAACTAGAGTGTGTGAGAGGAATCTTAGTTTTATTTGATTTTAATTAGTGTGAATCTTTATCTTGAAATCCAAGTGCTATATAAAGCTTAAGCACCATATAAATCTACTTAAAATACATTCTTTCCCTCTATATTTGAATTGCATCAGTTAATTCTGAATAATTAGTTATAGACCTTGCAAGCTGCCAACTTAAATACAGATGGAGAAAGCAGAGTGGTTTTTATCCACCCCAACTTTTGCAGCTGGCATTCGAAGTCATCTCCAGGGCAGTGCTTCCCACACATCCTCCAAAAGGACCTAAATAGCAAGGAGACAGGGAGATTTCCAAACCAGCAAATATAAAATTTCTTTTTCCTGAAGAATTCAGATGAATTTCACATTGCTGTGTTTTCCACTTCAATGTTCTTTGCTAACTCAGCATGGCTGTCACCTAGTCATATAGCTTAGCTACCACCTGCCTTTGAAAGCTTTCTCCACTCTTTCTAAAGAGATTGAATCCTTCCCCTACCCCCACCCCAGTTTCTATCTCTGTAATCAAATTGTTCCCTTCAGAGCGCTAGTCAGAATGTTCCTGTCTGCCTCTCTCCTTCCTTCCCTCCCTTTGCTACTTCTTCCTCCCAATCCTTCTTCCTTTGTGCCTTCTTTCCATTAAACTAGAAGATTTTTATCTTTTAAGTAAAAGAACTAATTATTTAGAGATATAATTGTGACATAAAAAATAAAATCTCTTTGGGCCTCCCCTGGTGGCACAGCGGTTGAGTGCTGGTCTGCGAAGCTGCGCACAGCCTCTGCAGTGCCGGTTCGATCCCCGGCCACCGGTGAGGGTTCCACATGGCGTGCAGACCTCTCCTTGCTGTGCCCACTGCTCCCCTCAGCAGTGTATTTCCTCTGTCTGCATGTTCTGCTCCCCCTTCTGGTTCTGGTGAATACTCTCACC